TACAAATACAATAAAATAAAAAAAGGTTTCTATGACTTGTTACGACAAAGTTAATATTTTCGGACTTATGAATTTTAAATGTTTGAAGAATTACAAATTCAGATACTTTTGACCCATTAAAAAAAAACTAAAGAAAAAGAATAAAATATAGAATATTTTTTTTTAATATTCTATGAAATTCAAAAAAAGGGTCTTATGAATTTTTACGATAAAATTAATATATTTGGAATTATGAATTCTTAAGTTTGAAAATTTCCGAATTCGGATACCTTTGACTCATTAAAAATATATAAAGAAAAAGAGTGAAATATAAAAGATATTATTTTTTAATATTGATAGTTTATAATATCCTTACCCGAGAATTAAAAAAATCATTTTGGTACATTTTGTATAAAGTTAGTGTATTGTATAAATATATATCTTCTATATTTTCTTTTTTTTTTCTTTAGGTATTTTTAATGGATCATAGTATCCAAATTATATATATTTCACTCAAACTAGAATCTTAAGTAACTGGATTACACAGTAAAAAGAAAATTTTAAAGTTAAAATTTGCTGTAAAGGAGTTATAATACCGTCATAGAGACCGTCATTTTCTCATATTTTTGTAAATGCCTGTTATTTTTGGAATACATACCAAATATTTTTTTTATATTTTTCTGTTAACTATTGTGACTAGACCTATCACCCGATTCTGGCTTAACGTCGACTTCTGGCACAGCCTATACATAAATACATAATACATTTTAAAGTGAATGTCCGGATAATAAGTGACTTAATAACTTCGTAACTAGGTAATGTGTGAATGTATCAACTAAAGATCTCGAATTTATACCTAATTATGTCAAATATGTATGTTGTATGTATGCATGATACATGATCATATGACCTCAATTGCGTAGGTCACTTAATAAGTTTTGAGATGCTCGAAATTTAAAAATGGAACGCACCCGCGTTATATTTTTCTAAAAATCAAATTTATTTAAAAATAGAACCCCATAAGCCAACCGCACAATATTAAAAAAAATACAAAGTTCTATTAATTTTCCTGCAACGCTTCCCGCAATTTTCATTTAAAACGATGGATCTTAACCGTGAACATTTGTGCGCTATAATCTATTATGATTTTAAATTTGGTTTAACCGAACAATTAAGTTTACAACGGTAACAATCACCATTAAGGGACTCAGCTCCATCACGCGCAACATTTTTAGGTGGTTTGCTGAATTCAAAAGGGGTAAAATTAACCTTAAAAATGACCAAAGAACCGGGGCCCCGCAAACATTAGTAACGGCAGAAAATGTATGGACTACTGAATTGTTAGTGCCAGAAGACCCACGAATCACATATACGTGCATCGAAAAGATTGTTTGTTTGTGATTAGTTCGGGGAGCATTCATACCAACCTAAATCAACATCTTGGAGTGAGGAAGCGTTGTTGTCGATGGATCCCTCTTTTGCTCTCCGAAAGCGAAAAACAGACTCGTGTGGATTGGTACCATGAAATGCGTCTACGTTTTGAAAACGGAGCATCTAATCGTGTTTCAGGCAATCATCGATATGGGTCTACTCAGAAGGACAGGTACCGACAAAACTGCAAAGACCTCGCAACGTCAGCAAAAAAATTGGTGGCTAGTTTTTTCTCGCGGAGCAGACATTTATCGACGTCAATGCTGGAAAATTGTAGGTCAGTGAACTCTGAAGGGTATACTACAGTTGCATTATCCAAAGCTTTTCAAGCTGTGCGGGAGAGAAGACTAAAGACCGGGCTTCGGGGAATCATACTGCATCACGATTAACGCCTCTTCACATACCTCCCTTAGAACAAAAGCATTCATTGAAGGATCTGGTGTTGAAACTCTAAGTCACCCACCCTACAGCCCTGGCTTGGATCCTTGTGATTTCATTTTCTTCCCAAGAGTCATAGGAAAAATAAATTGCAAGTTTTTTTCAAGCGCTGAAGAAGCCGTGGCTGTCTACGAAGAAGCGATTTCCGACCTGTAAGATCAAGACTGGCAAAAGTGTTTTCAGAGTTGGTTTAGGTGAATGGAACTTTGTATAGAGCATGATGGAGAATATTTTGAAAAGATATAAAATAAATGTTAATAGTATCTAGAATACTTTTTGTATATCTCAACACTTATTGAGTGTCCTACGTACTATGGGCCAAGGGGATCTGGCAATCCGACCTACCCATAGAATACCTATACCTATCCAACATTAAAGGCTGTCATGAAATACCGTCTCGTTCTATTAAATTACTTGGTGACACCAAATTTTTTGATGTCACCCCTTGAGTGAGACATTGTTTAACAAAGAGCTTGGAACGACGCCTAAAAAGAAGAAGTACCGGAAATGACGCATTAGAAACGGTGCATACTCTGGAGCACACGTCTTCAGCATATTTAAAGGGATTCTATCCGATCCAATCAATTGATGGGCATCCAGGGAGAGAATCACCGTGTAAACTGAACTTACTACATAGAACATTAACACTGCAGGATGGTTTGCGGAGTATTCTCCCTTTTAGCCTAGAGTCGATTAGACGCAAAAAGAGAACCTAGAAAATTAGGAATTAGAAGGCTTTCTCCTTTGCGGTGTGAGCCAGCGAGTTATCCTGTTGATGGCTTACAGAAACTTGGGCAGCCTTGTCGAGAAATGCAAGAGTTCCCGAATAGTGGCGATAAAGTTTCTCGCAAATTCTCCCAAAAGTGCTCTGACGTTGCCCTAGCATGTCACCTGGAGGCAGAGTTGTACTTCTTTTGGACAGCATTAGTGTTTGCATCCTGAGACGCCGATGCGCCGGCCCAAATCTTGTAACACTCCTGTTTTTGCCGCGAAGCAATTTTGCAGAAGCGATTAAACCCAGACTGCCACAGATCTGCTACCGATGGATAAGGTGATGAAGAGTTCTATCCTTCTATTCCCTGAAGTAACACAACGGCGACAGACTCATCAACGCTGTTAGGATCATCCTGCAAGAAGCAAATTTGTTCCCCATAGGTAGGATGCAAAAACAGCCTGAACCCTATCCCAATACGCCGACTTATAGTGTCATACATGACTTTTCATACAGATCGCGGCTGCAATGAGCATGTAGGCAATGAATCGAAGAGTCAGGAGCGGCACATCGACGGAGACCTGATTCTCGTCCGGTTCGATGATATGTCAGCAGAAGGTCTAACAGGGAAAATACATGACTCACCACATCTGTGATCCGCATGGACGAAATGACCAGTTATGGCAGCCTATATTATCATAAGAATGCTCGTTTTCAAATTTTGAGGTTATACCTGACGAGAATATGTGTCGGAATTTCCCGAACGAAGCCCAGTCGACTTGAATTGATTGACCTCTCGTTCGAAGTTGGACTTACCTAGTCGGACTATTTATCCCAGTTAAGTGCAACGACTGCCAGCATAGGTGGCACTTTACACATGATCTTTGTTTTGTCCATGTTCATCTGAAAACTTATTCTTAAACTTATGAGGCACTACTGTCATCATTGAGCATAGTGCTTAGGTCCTCCAGCAATTCTGCCACAAGGACTATATCGTCGGCAAATCAGAGGTTAGTGATGTACACGCCAAAGATGTTAATACCTTTACAGTCCCGTAGCTTGAAAACCTCTTCCGATGCAGCGGTCAAGGGTTTCGGGGATATAACGTCATCCTGTCTTACAATTCTCTGCAGTTGGATGGGTTTCGTTCTCTGGTTCTGTACTTGGATAACAATTGTAGCCCTATTGTACAAATACTACAACACTTCGATATACAGACAATCAATTTGGCACCGCTGAAGGGACTGTAGCACCGTCCAAATTTCGACAGAATCAAAGCCTTTCTCATAGACCACATAGGCCAGGCAAATTGGCATATTGCACTCTTCGGTCTTCTGGACAATTTGCTAAACTGTATGTAAGTGGTCTATGGTACTAATGCCTTTTCGGAAACCGGCCTGTTCGTGACGCTGTAAGTCATTAAAAATGCGAGACATATCTACATAATAACTCATGCCTAAGAAGGGAAATCGGCCTGTAATTATTCAAAAGAGCGTTGTCACATTCCTTGAAGAACGAGATCGCCGAACTTCTGCTTCACGCCTCCAGAGTAGTGCCACCATGGAGGACAAAATAAAGAGATTCTGAAGGACTTCAATTGCGGGTTTTCCACCAGATTTCAAAAGCTCCGCAGTAATTCCATGCTCGCCTGAGACTTTGCCGCTTTTAAAGTGCAGGAGAATCATTCAATCTCGCTCAAACTAATACCCTGTACAAAGAATATCAACGGAATCGTGTAACAGTGAAATACTTACTTATGTTTTCTCCGATATTGATATGTTTATAATTATCGATATATCGAAAATCCGATATTTTAAAAAATATCAACAGTCCTAGTTTGAACTGATCAGTTGGAATGATTAGTCGAACTGACCGTGTGTGTCGTCCATTATTCTAACTTGCTACATATACTCTGTGGATTGAGGTTTTGGCGGGTACTTAACCGACGACGGATTGTTGCTCATGTTTTATTATTTTAAATAATAGTTTCAAGTGGATTTTCCACATCCACTGTCCGTTGTGTTAAGCTGTCGTCAAAATCTCCCAAAAAAATTCCCAATGTATCAGCATATTGTGAAAGATAAACTCTATGTGAAAACTCTATATGAAAACAAAGCATACATTACATGGAGGGAGCACGTGTGAGAGAAAGGGGGGGGGGATATGTAATGTATGCTAGGAAAATAAAATCCCTAATTAATTTAAGATGTGTCTTAAAAGACAAGCATCCAAGACAATATTTTTTAATTAATAAATAAAACAACTCTGTGGTTTTTCATGAGAACGAATTGTTTATTTAAAGCTTGTACTATTTATTTATCTGATTTAATGATTTTACGCGTAGACAGAGAATGCTATGCTAGGATTCTCTGTCTACGAATTTAAGAAATTGTTTTATTTATTTAGTTTAATTCACACATAATCTCTTTACATATTGAATATGGGCCAGGGCAAAAGTCAATTTTCGGAAGAAGAACTTCAAGATTACGAAGTAAGTGTAAATCCGTAATGTAAGTAAGAAATATTAATTCAGTTATGACTTTGTATGACTAATAACTCGTTTAATGTTGTAGGATCTTACATATTTCACTAAGAAGGAAGTTTTGTAGTAAGTATAAAATGTATTTATTTCATGCTTGAGTGAAATTATAATTTTAGTTAAAATATAAATTTAATAACGTAGTTTCGCCTTGTTTTTTAAACCCATAAGAAATTATTCTGTAGTCAAAGACTTTGTTGATTAAATATAATATCAGTCAATATGAAAATTTGTTACTATGAAATAAAAGTTTAGTATGCAGCTTATAGGTTTCTGGTCCTGAAACCTATCATTTATTTTTATTTGCAAATATTTACATACATATTTTCCCAACACTACAGAAGATGGACAGCAGCATCTTACTGATAACGACTCAATCTATTATTGCGCGGTTGCTTATCCATCTGCCAAGCGTGGAAACTATGGCATACATCCCCAGGATGAAGCAATCTATTGGGGAGGCTTACTATCCTAAGGACTTTGTTACGAATATCTATATCATAAAATCAAAGTTTTTATTAAAACCTATTGTTATTTTTAGACCCTCTAAAATTTTATTTTGAATATTTATATAATTAACCAAATAAACTTATATTCTATAGCGCTCATCAGAAATTTAAAGCTCTAGCTCCAGAAAAAGTGGGGCATAATAAAAATGCCAAACTGCCAATGGCAAAGATTCTGCAGTATCCAGAACTAAGGGTTAATCCATTTAGAGACCGCATATGCAAAGTATTTAGCTCCAGTAACGATGGTGATTGTACATTTGAAGACTTCCTGGACATGATGTCTGTGTTTAGTGACACAGCCCCTAAAGCAGTAAAAGCTGAACATGCTTTTAGGATATTTGGTAAGTAAAATAAAATGTTGTCTTTATTGACATAGGATTCAGTATTCGGAGGCAAATGCTTAATGTGTTTTGGTATTGTTACAATTGATGTGCCCCAAGCACATCAATTAGATGGTTTCAAAGTCTGACAGACAGGTAGAAACATTTTTTGTGTTTTATATAGATGGATATAATTAGCAGACCTGTTAGGTCTGCTAATAAAGGAAGATGAAACAAAACTTATTGGAAAAAAATAATATTAGTAAAAGTTCTTTATTGGCCTATAATAGCCCACTGCTGGACATGGGCCTGTCCTTTTGTATGGTGGATTTGCATTAATTGTCACACTCAGCTGCTGGCGGATTGACGATTGCAGTGCCAGATGTCTTGCACCTGCCCATGCTCACGGTCTGAGTATTTTATGTTAGATATAAATAAGGTGGTATACCAAGCCTAAGGTTATCCTTAGTACTTTTTTTATAGAATAGGGTGACAAACAAGCACACATTCCACCTTATGGTAAGTGGATTCTGTGGCCCATAAACATTTACATTTATCCTTGATTAAGAATCAAAATGCAAATGTATTGTCAGATGAAATGCCACATTTCCAGTAAAAAGGGTATCTGGTTCTCTACACTCACCATACCAAACACAGCAGCATATAGCTACTATTTTATGTTAGTATTCTGTGAGAGCTTGGTCCTACCCTAGTTGAGCCGACCCATTCGTGCAACGACTATAATATAGTTGCAGCATGGCTCTAACACATAGAAAAACAGTTCTTTAACAGATGTTATTTTTGCTAAATTCATTGCCTCTCACAACACAAAGAACTAAATAGTATTATGGATTTTCCCACACTGCCACCACATAGTATAATGTTACTTAAACAAAAATATGTTTTCAGATTTTGATGGTGATGACATGATAGGTGTTTCCGATTTGCGTGAAGTAATTAATCGGCTTTGTGGACCAGAGCACAAGTTAACTGACTCTGAAATACAACAACTTGTTCAAAATGTGTTAGAAGAGGCAGATCTGGATGACGATGGTGCGCTCTCTTTTGCAGAATTTGAACATATCATAGACAAAAGCTCAGACTTTTGCCAGTAAGTAAAGGGAATATTTACTAGAAATCAGATTAACCTGTTAAAATATTTTAAATAATTTTCTTGCTTTTTACCTCAGTTAATGTGGTGACAGAACTAATAACTATCATTATTAGTAAGTATTTAACATGAGTCTACATGATGGCTGCAGCATAAATATGCTGGCTCGACTGGAGAAGCACCTAATAGATGTAGGTGGCAATTTGTCACAGCATCCAACTTACCAACAGGTGGTTACTACTGCTGTTGTCTGTTTATATTTAGTCTTAAATTTAAATGTCATGATTAGTTCTTTATATTTTATAATCATCTAAAACAAAAATAAACTTCTAATATTACAGTCAATATTGCTTGAACATATGGGTGCTATTCTTCTGTTGGCATTTTGTTTTATTTGTTTTCCAGAAGTTCTAGATTTGAATCAAAGATGTAGTAATTATTACATAAATTGTTAGCTTTTGGGTTTCTTTGCATTGTGACCACATTCTTCCCTACCTGGAATTTATATATTACATAATTGTGAAATTAGATACAGGTAGATTAGGATGAAGGTGAGTATTATCTGTTGTGCAGTAATTGTCACCATGATCGAAATGGACCAATAGGACATTCATATAAAATACACATAGATAGTAAGTTAGTTAAAGTAGCAACAATTTTTTATACTGATTGCATTAGTAATGTAATCCAAAGGACCTTTTTGTTGTAAATTTATATTGTAAAAAAAATTACAAATTTTTAATAATTTTCAATTTTTCATTTTTCAGCTCATTCCGCATTAGGCTGTGAAAGAGGAATATATGTACTACCAACTAATAGTGAAATATTTTACTTATAACACTAATATTATCTAATAATGAGGCAATACAATTTTGATAAGTATAATTGTTATTAACATGTGTGTTGTGAGTCACTGCCATTTTATACATAATTCAAAAATGTTATTGCCAGAAATTGTCCTTATTTTATCATAAGTATTAGCGGTTATATTGTGTGAAAATATCGTTATGAAATGAAAATTTGTTTTGATGGTTACCTCATTTTATCATTCAGTTACTGTTGTTAAAAAAATGTTTTAGAGGAATCTAGAATTTTTTTAGGATAAGAGTGTTCATTTGAAATAATGTAATTTTATTAGAAAACAAAACTAGTAAAAAATTCTGAATTTTGATATTATTATATTAACTATACTTATATCATAAATAGTTTTGAAGTCAGTGTTTCTCATATTTTTGTCAGTATGTATCGTGTTATTAGCCGTTTTGTGACAAAATATTACTTTATCACCTTATATATTCTTATATTTTCTAATTAGACATGTGTCAATCTTAAAATATTATATATTGTATGACCATGACCCCAGGTCCCATAATAGTGTTCATGATAGCAATTAATTTTTTTAATGATCCAGAACAAACAATTACAACATGGATAGACTTTTTTCTTATTTAAAAATATGAAATTACGGCTTCATCCAACCTATTCTAATAAACAAATGTTTCTGTATGTAAGTTTAAGATAGTCATGAAAGTTTCCATAATTGTCTTGTATAATATACATTATACCTACAAGACTGTTTTATCTCTTGTGTCACATGTATTTAAGCCATTTTTATTAATTTTTTTATAGGATAGTGTGACAAACGAGCACACAGTTCACCTGATGGTAAGTGGTTGCTGTTTCTCATAGACATCTACATCTATCTTTGATTACGAATCAAAATGCAGATGCATTGTCACCCGTGAGGACTTACATGGAATGCCTCATTTCTAGTAAAAAGGGTGTCCGGTTCTCTACACTCAACATACGAAACACAGCAGCATTAGGCTACTATTTGACGCTGGTATTCTGTGAGAGTGTGGTCCTTCCCCGATCGAGCCGACCCATTCATGCTACAACTATACTACTAATATAACTGTGGTATGGCTCTACCACATAAAATCTATTAATTATATATAATCTTATAGAGTAAAAGTTCAGAATATTACGCAATGGTCATATAAATAGTAAAATGAATTATATGTTCTCTTTCAATCGAAACCAAATGGCCTATGTTTGGAACCGTGCGGTTGTCACAGATAACTGTAACCCAAAATGATCTATTTGATTGATCAACCCGAGAGACTTGGTTCACATGACAAAATAAATTGAATGATTGGATCTCTAAAAAGGAACAATTGGCACATGTCCGTTTCTACTTATAAATTGAAATTTTTGGAAACTTAGTGGTGATTTTAGGAATTTATTCTTATTTACCCTGTAGTATTATGAGACCTATTCTTTCTAATTACTTTATGCATATAAAAAATGACATGATTTAAATAATCTAAGTAAAAAATAATAAATAAATTTCTCAAGAAAAAAATGTGTAATTTATGTTTGTAAAGCACCAATTTCATTTTTAATGTGATAAATTTATATAGATCTGTCTATTTTGCTTGTTTGCATTACAATGCTTTACTTGAATTAGTAATTAGTTTACTACTCAATGAAAGAAGTAGTAATAATAAATTTAAATAATCTGGCTTTACATCACTTGTGGAAAAAATAATCTTTGTAAAATATATGGTAGATAGGAAGTATATTATTACTTCACCATTATGTATTTGCATTGTACTACTCAAAGTATAAATGTTTTTGTATTAAAAGAATGATATAAAAAACGATATTTTTTTTTCACATACCTATTACACATTGGTAAATAAAGATTGGGTGGTTATGAAAATAAATAAAAAATATTTTATTAATTAGTATAAAAATATTTATTTAACCTAATAAAAAAAGGGAATCCTTATAAACATATCTTCCAGATTATACATTATGAGTATTACATTAACTTAGTTTTGTAAATAACCTGGCAATTTCATCCTCATAAATATCCAAGTGGTGAAGAATGAAACAAGAATGCATAGAAAGGCGACAGAAATTAGTAAAATTCGATTTAATTTTGGTGTAGAAGGATTGTGTGTTCTATCCAGTATGATGAATCCGAGCCCACCAAGAGAAAAAAGAAAGCTAGAAGCCAATCCTTCCATAATATATTGGCCGTTAACTCTGTTCGGCATAAATGCAACTGGCCGGCTATGCCCATGTTCATCGGTCGTAGAGCCTACGCTAGGTGGTTCCACTATAACATCATAAATTATACCTATAACAAAAAAAAACATAACAGTAGTTTCCTTTCTTTTTAGAAACGTCTTTTAAGAAAAATATGCAAAAACAAGATACCTAACCTCCTGTCACCAAAAAATACGATAGAAGCACCAATGAGAACGTTGTCATTGCAGATGGAGCTTGTAGCCATGAAGGTTTCTTAATTTTTATATTCGGTATTTCAAGCACTGTAAACGGTATTGCAACTATTGATTCCATTTTGATGATATGAAAAACCGACACTAACAATTAAAATTAAAACGCCTATTGACGCTTGACGTTGACGTAGAATAGCTTAACAATTGTAGATACCGATACCGTTCCGTTTGACCTTGATAATTCGATTTTGCGATCTTATTATACGAATATATTTCTATCATTGCATTAAGTGTATTTTTGTTATATTATTCTAAATTATTACAAGGGAAGTTTCAAATATTGACCTCAAGAATTATTTAAATGCTCCAAACTTTTTAAAGCTTACCTAATATTTTAAGTTAATGGCTGGCGAAGTTTATAACTGTCTTTAATATATTTTTACTGCATGGAAAGGAACGATTAAATTTCTTAGTAAAAAATAGCCAATCAAGATACGTCATGTGTGTTAAATGTTTTATTATGATTGGAGGAGATTTCCTAATCAATTTTTTTTCTGCTTATGCACCAATAACGTTTTAACTCTATGTTGAAATTTATAAACGAATAAAAAATCTGGGGAATTTGGCAACTGTCAAAAATTTATATCTTTCAATGGAAACGTACGTTGTCTGCTTTCTTTACAATTATTTTTAAAATAAATAATTGAATGGTAGCGTTTCTATCAATGTAAAAATGTGGGATATTGATCTTTGGTGTTTGTGACCCCTTTGGCTTAAATTATTGAGTTATTAATTTTTTGTGAAGCGATGTGAATATGTGTTAATTTTGCACACAAAATGTACTGGACTGTGGAATTTTTACTAATTTTACGATGAAGGGTGGCTTGTGTGTTATTTACACGTCGTTACTGACAATTTCTGTTTTATCAAGGTATGTTTAAATTTATTAAATTTAACTTATGTCCACCTCATCCAGCTTAATTAATAATATTTACTCTTCCTCTAGCTGTGCCCTCTTCATTTTGGTGGTATCAGAAGCTTTGCAAGCCGAAGATGGCCATGCCGACCTGTCTGGTCTTAGCAACGTCAGCCAGAAGGTGACAGCTATTGAAAAAGAAGTAATCCCTGAAACCATAGCTGATGACACCAAAAATGAACCAAATACCAAAGATAAGGACCAACCTGAAGAGCATGAGGTGATATTTGCTGAATCGCTGTCAGTGAACTCGGTGACAACTGATGGGTGAGTCTATATTATAATAATAGTGAAAGTGAAAGTAAATTTGTTTTCAGTGCTAGTTTATAGTTTTATTACTTTTTATCATACACTCTCTTAGTGTTTTAATTAACTTTTTAACAATCAATAGATTTGTTTATTTTTATTATATGGCAACTATACTATTGCACTATAAACAACATGTTTTAGTTTCTCTTTGTGTCTTATATTATTAGTAATACCTGAGGTATAATTAATACATGAAACAGTTAACTATTTAGCAACAGCATATTTAGTATTTACAAGTATTTGGACTGATAATAATTCTCAATAAACAATTTTAAGTCCATTGGTAATTCTCTTGAAAATAATTGTATTTAAATAATTTCAAACACTTTATTAGTGGTCAACTAGTTTCCTATTTTTAATATTAATGATCTATCATTGAAGACCATTAGTCTTCAATCATTTTCTAACAACATATTATACTCACATTAGTAACAATTATTTTACTTAACTTTTTGTATATTCATCTTGTCACCTCCATCGCCATTATCTACAGCCACAATTCACAGGTCCAGTGTGAACATTGGCCTCAAATGTTCACAACTGGATCACAAACCAAAAAAAAAATCAATTATAAAAATAACAAGTGTCTCTAATTTTAATTTATTAATTTTTAGTTATGTTTAGGTATTAATAATTTAGTAATTTAATCTTGGTTAAACACTAACTCAGCAAAATAACTATTGACTGTAAGGTAAATATTTTCATTAAATTTAACTATTGCCTAACTTCCAATTGATGTTATATTACTATGCAAGCTTGGTCATGATATTCTCTGTATAATTTGTTTTTAAGTTGTGTTGCCTGCCCTCAAGGCTGGTCTAAATTTAGTATAATATACATAAGGTCAAGTAAAAATAATAGTTGAGCCTGTTTTACTTTTGTTTTATTTATTTATAAGTTTCTTCATTTAATCATGGGCATAACTAACTTATATAATATATTATTAGCAATCTGCCCTGCCTTCTCATGGGTTATTTCTGGATCTTGACAAAAGCACCACCTACCAGGTCCAATTCTAAAACTAAACCATCCTATGGGACCCACTCTAACAACACATTCATCACAATCAGTTCAGCTGTTTTTTGTTTTTAGCGAGACTAACAGGACAGCAATTGATTTTTGTATATAGAGAAGATAAATGATATGTTACATTGATATAGTGACTGGATTACTTTTGATTGATTATTCTTTTTTATAATTAAAAATTATCAATGAAATGAGTATTATTGTACACTATATTTTCACTTAATTCTTTATAATATTTTATAGTAGAAGTTGCAAAAAAAATATAATAGGTATACTATATTATCAGGGAACTCGGGGCCATTTATTTTATTTTCTGAGTCATGGTGCGAACAAGGGGTGGTGGTAGATTTTACGCCGCTACCATACGGCGAGAAGCCGAGTCTATTTTTTTCGGCTTTGTCGCTCGTTTAGCACCACCCGGGGGACACGTGTAGGGTGGGCCTAAGGTTAGGTGGTCGAAGCCTACAGACGCGAGCGACTCATCCCCCATATTTTGAAAAGGGGCCACGTTAGAAGTACCCTTAACCAACGAGCATGTATGCGTAGATATATGGATGTAAAGGAGGCGAAAGAGGTATGTCAGGATCGTGCCAAATGGAAGTCCGTAGTCTCTGCCTACCCCTCTGGGTGACAGGCGTGAGTGTTTATGTATTATGTATATGTATATTATCAGTCTGATGGAAGCTACTTTCTCAGTTTGGTACCAGAGATGCCTCTAATTTCCATACTTACAAGGTTTTCTTGACATTTTCCTTTGTAGGCTTTTGTAATACCTCCAATACTTTGAAGTGAGATGTGTTCTATTTGCTTCCACAACATTACACCTGCCATTTTAGTCTGATTGTTATAAAATAGTTTAGTCATTTATTACAGCCTATCAAAAGTATAATGCTGAACCGTGGAGGCCAAGGGAATCTCTTGGGGCAACATATCCCCCATAGATTGCATATTTTAGGGATACTTACTTGCCTGCAGATTTTTATCATTTTGACTTTTTATAAGGAAGATGCTGCTGCCTCTTAAAACACTCTAGATTAAATAGGTTAGTGGATTAAACTACTTTTACAGATTTTATAGCTTTTAATTCTACTTATTATTAATTCCCGACATTTCAAGTGCTGTGCAGCACCCATGGTCGCGGGAGACTGTCCGTTAGGTATTTATGTGGAGTTAAACGCAATACAAGTGGTAAAATTAAAAATTTTGTACAACCGACTTCAATATAAATTAAATTGAGAACATCATCAATGTATTCTAAGTCAATTAAATACGTATTATTGAGGATAACTTAAAAACTACTGGTCAGATCTTGATCAAATTTATATGGGATCACAAAAGAAGCACCAGCTTTCAAATAAAAATAGAATCACCAAAATCGATTCCCCTTGAAAAAAGTTCTGAAATACACATAAAAAACAGTAATTGAGTACTTCCTCCTTTTTGAAGTCGGTTAAAAATCTGTAAAAGTAGTTTTAATTCAACGTGGGGTAGTGGATTATCGTACGCCGCCACTACACAGCGGTTTTGAATTATCAGAATCATTTCATTAGTTTGCCTGTCCCTTTCTTGATGTTGATAATTACTCATTATGCTGGTTGTTCGGACAAGAACCAAGGAAGCAAAAATCCCCAACATTGACACGTTCTAATCTACTATCAGTCACTGTCCGGTACACTTGGAAGCGTGACAGCTAATGACGATTGACGTCTCGTTTCGTTATCAATTTCCATGGCGCCACTACGTCACAGCATAGTTTAGGTGGGCGTGATTGCTGGTATTTCAACGCGTTTGAAATATTTTGCTCGCATTTATCTACTACGATATTTTAAAAATAGTTGTGACGGGAAAAATATTCATTTTGGAGTGTGTTCGAAATTAATTCAAATCATTTAAAAATAAACTTTAAAGCGAAAATTCAATTGGGTTCCTTTAGGATAACTTTCACATGTTTTAACTCAATAATAACGATTATTATCGGAAAACCTATCACTTAGGTATATGTATATATATAGTGTCATCATATGACACTGATGATGTTGGCAAGGGTCGTGTAGATATGGTATATTTTTATCTTTGTTAAGAACCTTATGAATATGTATAGATGAAATTATAAACAAGATTAAATGTGAGCGGGTAGCGGGACCTTGAAAATTCCGCAATAAGGCCCAAACCACAGTTTAGAGTCCTTAAAACTCGGCTTCGCGTTCTAAGTGTGCAAAATTAGGAATTTACGTAAGTTTGAAGAACCCACGGAATTAATTCCTTTTTTAATTTTGATGTGTGTGTGGTGAAAGAAAACACTAGGAGGTGATCTATATGTCTTCGAAATAACATTACGGGGACATGTAAAGTCTGCGAAATACTATTTTGTATGCGGCAGCGCGGGCTGATGGACTCCATACACACAGAAATTAAAGGAATATTTTACTTTTACTTTAATAGTGATTCCACGGCTTACTTAAAGCGCATTTTGACTAACTTATCAATTTATTAGTTTCTACTAGTTTATGCACTGCATTTTAAAGAATTCTTCGTTGGTATTAATAATACTATAAAAAATCGTGTAATATTAATAAATATTTAATAAATATGTTAAAACAATAATTCCTCTAGTACTGGGCCCATTCACATGAAATGGAGAAATTTGATATATTTTTTTAACCCAATTTATAATACAAATTTATCTACTGACTTTAATAGCAACCACGTAACCACAATAAACGAAAAATTAAGATGAATTTAAACATGCAAAGTGAAGCATTATCCACTGCGCCTATTTTGAATTCATCGTGTTTCGCATAGGAACAAACATCGGTATTTTTCTGATTAGATAGAATTGATTCTTACTCAAATTATTATTATTGACTTTGCTTGCATATAGAAGAGCTGTGATGGTTCAGGGGTTGGGCGCTTGGGTCAAATTTTAACGTACGAGAACGCCCCAAGTGTGACGCAATTTTAAGCGCTCGTCAGGTAAAGTAAACATTTTTCTGACATCAACACAAACAGATTTTTGAGAAACTAAAATATTTCGAGCACATGTAAAATCCACCAACTAGCAAGGGGGGTAGTAAGATCGACTTTCCCTTTAATCACACAGAAAATGAGGGAGTAACGTCTTTCGATAGCCTACTCTTAAATCCTAATATATTGCTAAATTTCTATTTCATTTGCCTTAGACTAAAAGTTATGATTATATGACACATAAGTACTTACGGACAGAAGGATATTAAGAAGGATTCTATTGTAACCATTGATCAGATAGTCAAAAAGGCCAATTACTATTTTATAAACTGAAAATTTATGCCAAAAATAATAGAAGAATTACTATGAATTGTGTTCTTGGAAGTATCAAAACAAACGTTCCTTTTAGTTAAAAAATAACTTATTTTATAATAGTCATTTCTTTAATAAAAGATCATATGATTTAAAAGGGAATCAATTTTTATAACTGTTACGTAAACGTTACAGCTGTCATTACGGTCAGTTGAAAAAATTAACGAGCAGTAGTTTTATATTTTGGCGGTGCCTAAAATCGTTTGGCAATAAAATCTGAACAGCAATTAGAAACAAATTGGCTAATTATTTAATAAATACCTCAAACAGTGCAATAAATAAATGGCTAGTGGAATGGCTGAATGGGCAGTTAGGTAAATAGTTCCGCAGTCATCGGTGTCCAGTTTTGTAAATTTAATAAAAATACAAAAGCACCTTGAAATAATACAAGTTTTTACGGAATTTATCGCAGTATATTTAACTTTTTTTAAATACCCGACGTTTCGAACGCTTTACAGCACTCATGGTCACGGGCAGGACTGAGATGTTCAACGTCCATATGTCATAGTTAACCGCGGTTACCATAGATTAAAATTTAACTTTTGTTCCGATCTATGCAGTATGAACTTATGGTATCTTGAAGTCTTGCAGTTGTATGCT